GAGGCTCGAAAGTTGGTCACACAACAGGTCATGCTCTGACACTTTTCGTTTTGAGTCAAAGTTATCGAAAAAGTGTTATTGGATATGGTATAGCTTTAGTTTCCGCAAGTGTACGGGAGGGGTAAAATCCTTTGAGCGAACAATCTATCCTTGGACAGCTGAGTGGCTGGTACTTTTAGGGGAGCTTTGTACGACAGGAGTTGTGTTTCTGTATGGGGGAGGGGCCGCTTGTTGGGTCTGCATCATTTTTTTGACATGGAGGGGGAGTGAAGAAATGGACAAGAGTATAGGCATTGCAAGGCAAGTGAGACTTTTTTTCCTTTAACATGTTCCTTGCCCCCGGTTTTAGACGTTTCAATGAAGATGTGGCGAGAAGTTTCTCTTCAAACGGACTTACATATGACACACGGACGGATAAACTGCTTTGTCAAGCATGAATCAGATCGGATGAGATGCGAAATGAAGTAATCTAAACGAGGTGTTTCTGCATGTCGGTCCTTACAATCCATGGAAAAGAATTGACGCAGAAGCCGCGAATTTCTTATACGATATTCCGAAATCCTCTGTCGTGTATTCGTAGCCTTGTTAATATTGTTCTGAAGTTTCGTTCGGATTTTCGGATTTAGATTATGTCCAAATTATTACCATCTTGCCACATGATGTTTGAGAGGGCTGTGCGAAAATTCGATATTCGTGAAATGTGCCAGAGAAATTCTGCGATTTGCCTATGCCTGGTCCATTACGCGCGTGAGCTCTCTTGATGTAGGCAACTATACATATACTGTAAACTTCTCCCTTCTTATTGAACAATCCGAGAAGTGCATTATCTAATACTGTTTCTACACATACATACATACGCGCTTCTGAAGCTGCAGGCGATACTTGCTTGCATAATCAGCCATTCCAATCAATTGTCAATCTATCTTCAAGTAAATCTTCGTTAAGAGCATCTAGATCTATTGATTGTCCAATATAGTCAATCTTACATCGCATCTTCCACCAATCTACTTGGATACGTAAAAAGTCCTTCATCTTCTATTTGATCCCAAAATTTCCAATTCACAAACACAAATTCACAATATAAATGTCCTCCGATCGTCCTCGCTCTCGCGGATTCTTTGAACGCGATCGTCACGGCCACGAGCGTATCATTTTCCGCTCAAACTCGAACTCTCATCGTCGCTCTCCCTCTCAATCTCGCACCATGGTTCATGAACTAGCAAGTGACCTAGAAGACCGCAATGCCGAACTACAAGCTGTTGCTGAATCACTCAAAATAGAACTGGCAGTTGCAGAGAGCAGGAACTGGCAATTGATTTCTGACAATAGTGCTTTACGAGATATTGTCCATGTACTCAAGGGAGATAAAGAGATTTTGAGAAGGGAAAGTGAGCAAAAGAGTGAGGATATCGAGTATCTTGAAGAAAGGGTTGCAAAGTTAGAGGGGAAGAGGGAAAGAGCTGAGTCTAGGGGTGAAAAGGCGGAGGAGAGAGTTAGGTTCATGAGAAGGGGGTTAACTGGGAGGGGGATTCTCAGTGAAGGGGGGTTGAAAGAAAGACTTGAGGATAAAGTTGCCGAGATTGAGAGGTTGAAAGAGTTAATCAGAATTATGGATGACAAGCTCAGTGAGAGGAACAGATGGTTGGCAGAGAAAGATAATAAGTTGGGTCAGTTGAAAAGGTGGATTGTGGGTAACGGATTTCGTGTTGAGGGAGTTTGAGGGGGTTTGCTAGTTGCGATATTGGATTATAGTTGCGATTTCTATTTCACGATTCATGAATTCAAATTCGACATCCAAGATGAAGTCGATGTTCTACATTTCACCGACAAGGACAAAGAGATGAATATCCACGAATTTTTCTCAGCATCATTTATACCAAGACTCGGGAATGGCAGTACCAAAGAGGGCCACAGAACATTTTGGCGCGGCGAATGATATGTACGTACTACACGCCACACTTGTACACCAACACTCATAGGCTAATAATCCTTAGAAAAACTGAAAAAGAGAGGAGAATTTCTTTACAATACAGTTCAATGCTTTTGATTTTTGATACCTTGTAGCTGCTTAGAGTCAGTCTGCTTGTTTTCTATTTTTTTTTCAAAATGGATTCATTCAGTTGAGTTTCTTGCACTTGCACTTGCTCTTATAAATTGGTCTGGTTTTCGGTCGCCAGATTTTGGTCTACTTCTGATGGTTTAATCTCTTGAATGATGGAGTTGATTTTTTTTGGAACGTTCTCAAATGATATCGGCGCTTATTCATTGGTGCCTTTTATCCGGCTTTGTATTGTATACATGGGTGCTTTATGTATGTACAACCCAATGCAAAAAATGATGCCTTTTCTTCTCGCTTATTGGCATATGCGAATGTACTCTCTACCCATTTCATGGTATGAGATATGTGAGTAGCCGTACCCCACCCAACATAGTTGCCTCGAAAGGAAAGCGAAAAAAAGGATGATCATTGAGGTTCAGGTGACGGGTTAAGAGGAGTTACATATTTCTGCCTTCGGGCTTATGTACATTGACGGCATGGACAGACGGGTTAGTTAGAGTTAATTTGGGTTCTTGCTTGAAGCTGCTGGTTGTGTAATATAATAGTTTGATATATGGTTTATAGATGTACAAGCAAAGGACTTTGGAGACGTACATGCAAAAAGAAAAGAATCGATATCGCGGGGTCAATTCCTAGTTTGCACATAAACTAATTCTCATTGACACAACAATATTCCAGTCACCAGTCTTCCAGTGTTCCTCAAGAAATAAAATGAACCACAGACCGAGTACAAACAATAGCTTTGAAGCATATCATTGATCCTCCATCTAATTCTTATAAACGATAAACGATAAGAAATGCAGTTTACTTATCACACTGCCATTAATCGATGCATGCTTGACGTCAAACTCGCGTCTCGGCAGTTTATTAGTTTGCAGTCTAGGTCTCTTAGCGTAGGTTACAATGCCAGAGCCTATTGATTCGTGAAATCCAAAAGGACAATTGAGAAATTTGACACGTGAAGAATAGGCAGGACGGGGGTGCGAGAGGAGAAAGGGAGGTGGAAGAGTCATAAAAACTGTACGTGCTTTTGTGTAGAGTCCCGTGCTATGGATGGATGGTAGATTATCTGCAGAGAATGAGGAAATGGGAATCCAAAGATTGATCGAGAAAGAAAAATGATTAAACGTATACCGTGTGAGTAATCTCGAAAGTATTGCAGGGAGGGCTTTTGCATGTACAAACAAAAACAATGAATTGTTCAATCGAGATTGTACCCCTTCATGCAGCCACCCCGCATCACTACCTTACGCATCAACATGTTGTCTAATTCGCATGCCATTTTCTAATATTCTTCTTTGATATTTTGTGCGTACATAACCGTAATCTTTCTCATTTCCTATTGTTGTCCCGTCTTTCAACAAGTAAGAAAAGAAAGTTTCCATTCTTTGAGGCTCAAGCCTTCGTAACTTTGTATTCCAACTTCAAACCGTCCTACCCACATTACTAGCATCTGTAAGTACAACGTCGACCCGACGGACAACACCTTAAATCTTATCCATGACACCCATCTTCTACACCCTAGATGAAATAATTCCGATCTTTGCCGAATTGGGCTTTTCTAACCGAATCCGTATAGAGTACTCGAGGTACCCAATGAAATGTGCTTAAAAATCTAACTCATTGATTAACAATCGAGGAATTTTATGTCATGTCATAGGCACAGCCTAAATTTTATCCCTGAAAGAACCTCTTAGCGGTCTGCCCTGGCGTTTTTTGACTAATTGCGAACGATTCTTGCGAATTCACAATCCCGAAAGAAGAAAACGATATAGACAAGGCTAGAGAAACATTCAAACACTGCCCCTTTCCTGGGGTCAAATGGGTTGTGAGAACAAGGACTTAATTTTCTCGATCGTTCGCTAACCAATCAACGTGATTAGACGTGGGAAAGCCACGAGGAGGTAGCTGAAGAAAGGGATGTTTGAGACTGAGTCATCATCATTTGATAGTTTACGAAAGTTTCGGACATGGAATTGGGATGTTTGGATTTTAGAAGGGTTGCAAGTACAGTAAGTTTGGGGGCCCAAAAAGTAATTTCCTTCTCCATCCCTTTTACATCATCATTTCGAGACATCGGAAATGGCAAATGGGTCTTCTCCGAATAATTAGATGCTTAGAAGATGATAGAATGAGGAAGGAATAAACAAAATATCATCTGGCGATTGGATTTACGCCAGAAATATGCACAACGGGATGTTCAGCCAGGGTCCACTTCGGTGAGATCATTAGGAAACCATCCCTCTTCCACCCCGGTTACGCCATGAGCCGCGAAGGAAAGTTGCGAAATGTCAAGATACCCCAGCAGGACTGAGGCTGTGATTGGAAGCTCGAATTGAGTCAAGGCAGAAAAGGTACATGATTATTTCGAAACCCGGATGCTTTGTAGGCAGGTACTAGGCTAAGCACAAGAACGATAGATAATAGACACCGGTTTTCGAAGAAGAGTCATATGTTTATTGATCCTTCTTGTGTTCATTTTCATGGGGCAAGTTGGCTATGGTATGAGAGTGATATGGCTATGTATCGGATGGCTTGGAGATTGGTGTAGAGTAGGAGTATATATCTGATAAATTTCCGGCCAGGAATGAGGAATCAAAAAGAGGTGTTTCTTGTTCAGCCTTGTATTTATTGACTCGATTCCCATCGCACCTACATTTATCTTACCTGCAAAGAAGAATTCTCGAATGGAATTCGTCTTATTTATCCATTCAATTCACATCAGCGACGAATAGATTACCTTCTACTGCATCAATACCCATACCCGTCATCCAATTATTCTCCCGCGCTCATTTGATTTATCAATCGCAATCAGATATCGTCGGGTCAGAAACACAACGTACGATTGGTACGAGTTGCTTCGGAGCAAACTTTTCAAGTTACACAAATAGTTACAGTGGTACATAAACGTACCTTTGTACACAAACACAGCATCCTCAGCATGTCTTCCAAGCCCGTCAAGAAAGTGCACTACACTTCTTCCACCAAAGGATCTTCAGTCCACGGCGGAACTCCCTCATCACCACCCATTACATCTAAACCCACATCCACACCCCGTCGTCCCTCATTCTCTCACCAACGTCACCCCTCTGATTCTGGAGTTGGTTCCTCTTCTTCCAATTCTGCTACTGCGTCAGTAAATTCGGCATCTTTCTATACCGACGCCGACCGCGCAGAGCAGAGACAAAATATCCATGCCCTCAATGAAGTACTCAGTACACTCAAAGAACGCGTCAAATCTCTCGAATCGAAGAATCGCACTCTAGAAGAAACATTAGTAGAAAGCAACCGGGAGAAACGAGAGCTCCGTCGTGAAAGGGATGATTCTCTCCGTATAATTGAAGATTTGAAAAAAGAGAAATCTCGAGCCAAAGATGGACGAGAGGCGAAAGAGAGTGATGGGATCCGAGTCCGTGGATCCGATGTCAATGTTAAGATTACACCTGAGAAGAAAGAAAGAGGAGAAAGAATTCCAGTGACAGTGGAGAGAAACACACCACCGATGACACGCCGCGAAAAAGAACGCGATTCGGAAGCTAGGAGGAAAGAAGAAGAAAGACTTCGAGCGCAACATCAGGCGAGAGAGCGGAGAACAAGCTATAGAGATGCGCCTTCTTCGCCACTTTATCGCGACGATGAAAGGGATGTTAATCCTATGAGTCCCGGCTCTCGATTCAGAGACGAAGATCTTCCTTCTCGCGAAAAACGTAACTCGGGTTCTCCGCCCACGGCTAAAATGCAAAATCCATTTACACCATTGAGTTCCATGGCAGCGAACGCAGTTCCGGGACGTGCAAGAAGAGCAAGTGTTAGTTATGGTACTTCCCCAAGTGGATATACGAGTGCGCCACAAGGATATCCGGGGATGACGATGGGGAGTAGCTATGCGAGGAGGGAAAGAGATGAGGTGCCTTATGTTAGAGGAGAGGTACCGGTCAATGTTAACGTTGGGGTTGCGGGAACGAGAGGATCGAGGTTGAGTGGTGGGAGTGTAGGGAGTGCGAATGATGATATGTATCCTAATGATGGGAAGTATCATCCTTATCCTTTGAATCATTGATGGATGGTGGTTTTATTTGTCGGATTCTTTTCTTTTCCTTGGACTTCGCGATTCGAGCGATTGATTGTTTGATGGTTGGGAATTAAAAGCTTCGGTTGACGAACTGGGCTTTTTATCGTTTGTACTTTATTTTTGGTCTTGTGTGCGACACGTGTGGATTGGTTTGCGGTTTCTTATGGATGGATGAAAACAATACCCCTTATAAAATAAAGAGAAATGAACGAATGGAAGGAATAGGATGGAATGGGATGGGATAGGACACATGGTACATACAAGAATGGCGCAAGCCTGGAAGGATAGGAATGGAAACGGTCGGATGGTTTGGGTGGATAATGAGTCTAGATTAGAACAACCCACTAGATAGCTATTATTTTTACATTAGATACTCAATATTTAGATATTGGAATGAAAACTTTTCAGGAAACTTTGATGAATATTTGACTCTGAACTGTGGACTTTTTGTATGTCACATCGAGCTTGCGACCGGATAGAATAAGTGATTGCATTTCCCACTCAGGTCACTCTTTCTGGGCATAGTGAGTACGAAAGCTGTTCGAAATGACTATTTCCAATGTCCTATCCTTACAAAGATATAGATAGATGCCTTGAGAAGATGATTGAACTGTATATTTTCATCTGTCAGGTGTTTTCCTTTGCTTGATAGCCTGTCCGCTACTCTTCCACAGGTCTCGTCGCACCAGTCATAAACCCTATCGCAGCCTCCAAGATATCTCTCACAATCTTCAATTCCGACTCTGTTCTCGGAGTATATATCAACAGATATTCCGCAGGCATTTTCAATGTGCCAGCCAAGGTCATTCTTTCACCCCATCCCTTCTCGATCACATCTTTGCAATCCTTAGGCGATAGTACAGCATGCATTGAATAGTCCACATTCTTTCCTTCCGTATGAACATGTGCTATTTCTCGTTTCGTTTTCCGTGCTGGGAGATGAGGTGTCGGAACTTTGTTTGCGATTAAGAGGGCATCGCCGTGTTTTTCAAGGGCAGATGTAGTCAGAATTACGTGGTCAGGGTAAGTTTTGGCTAGGTCGATAACAGTTTGATCGATTGATTTATGCATTTCTTTTTCACCGAATTGATTGATCTGCCTGTGGGGCACTACCTGTTTTGGCCTGTTAGTAGTTCGTGCAGGTTTGGGGGTTAACCTCAAGGTACCCATTTGCCCTTCTCAGGTCTGAGACCTTCTCGGATTGGTAATGGTTGTTTCAAGAAGCTCTGTTGGCCAAGTGCCCCGCATTTTGCGATCTCCTTGGGATCATCGTAGCATGCAGTATCGAAAGGTTTGCTTTTGAAATACCGGAGGAAGTATTGGACGAGTAGGTAGCCGAGTATATTGCTAGGTAGGGCATTTTCTTTGAACTCTAACCAGCCATGATAATCTGCGCGAGATGATTCAAACATCACGAGAGCATTCGACGGACGGTTGAACTCCAGAAAGATGTCGTAGGAGTCACCTTAAGAATGAACGATTTTGAGTTTGATGATCGGTGGATTAGTTGGCCTGTGCTTACAGCTTGATGCCCCTGTAATGCAGGCTCCATTGGGACGTGAAATGTGGCACACCATCACTCAAACGGAACCAGACATTGAAAGCTTTGATAGTTCAATATTAGATAATGATAGCAATATGATCTCAAATGCAGAATGATTAAATTGTACGATGAATCCAAGCTTCCGAAGCAACCTCAAATTCAAAGCCTTGGTTCTTTGATTTATTATCGAATATTTGAAAAAAGGTATATCTTGCATGAACCTTTTGTCGCTTTCGCCTGAAGCAACACCTAAACGATACCCAGATTTGCAATTCCAGAAACCGACACGGGCGCCAGCAAGCCGTTTCTCGATATTTTGATGGTTTGAGTACTCTAATTGGCCGGTTTTGTAGCCTTTACAAGTAGAAATGGAGGACGATCCCTTGCTCGAGCCCAGTCTGGATATTCCTTTATCTGCTCCGGTGTTGGTCCCCACTCATCAATCGCAGATAATATGAAGCCAGCATCAAGAAGAATCGTGATGTATGTAGCAATCGAACGGTGTTGTTTGACTACCCCTTTTGCCAACCAGTCTGTCGTTCGAGGGCCCTCAAACAAATAACCATCTAGTGGCCAGACGTCTCGACCTTGCGCATCTTTAATCCAGTCAGGGTTCCGTGGGGCAGTCCAGATGGGGTGCTCTACAGAAAAAATAAAAGCTCCTTCAGGCTTCAGTGACTCATAGACTTGATGGACAAGAGATGGTAGATTCTCGATGTAATGAAGAGCCAGAGAGCTGTAGGCAACATGAAACTCATTTGGAGATATCTGTAAAATCTCGAGATCGGCTTCTCGATAAATGATAGAAGGATCTTCTGGGTACTCTCTTGCTCGAGCTAACATGTTCTCAGATACGTCTGTACCATGAACGAATTTTGCACCATTTTCTCGCGCCCATCTACACATCCAGCCAAACCCGCATCCAAGATCTAGGAAGTTTGATCCCTCAAGGTTTGGTAACCAAGAACGTAGTACTTCGAATTCAGGAGCCTTTTCCAATCCATGAACAGAGCGTGGAAGCTGAGCATATGCTTGGAAAAAGTCCTCTTGATCGTAGAGATTTTGTGCCATGGTGTGATTCTGTGATTGGAAGTCCAAGCAATCTGGGTGTTTTTGGTAGTTCTGTTTCGAACGGTAGGTGTGTGATCATCTATAGAAACCCAATAATCACGAAATATGCAACTTATCTGGCAGATGGGCGATTAGGGAGGAAAGTCAACTCTTCCCGCAGTCTCCATACTTGAGATACAGTACTTTATCGTTCTCCAATGTGATACAAAATGTGCGAATTTGGACCCTTCTTTAAAAGAAGCCAGAGTCTTCATCTGATCTCATCATAACGGATTGTCAAACAAAACATTGATGTAGACTGTCGATCGGGACCAAGGTGACTTACCGTAAATGTTGAAAAAATTCCCCTGGGCAGCGGGGTTACTGTATGGAGGATACGCTAGATGGCGGGGTTTCCGCATAGAAACCGACATCGGAGCGGATCTTTGCATTGATCAAAAACATTGTTTCAATTGAAGTTATTCGTATCTATTCACAATAAACTGAGCATCATGACTGACCATACCCCTTCACAAAGATATCTGTCGACCAGAGGTGGCGACTACGGATTATCATTCGAAGAAGTCGTCTTGAAAGGTCTCGCTGCTGATGGAGGATTATTTATTCCTGAACAGATTCCATCTGTACCTGAGAACTGGGAGTCAAAATGGAAAGACTTGTCATTCTCTGACCTCGCCTTCGAAATCCTTTCCCTCTACATCTCTTCTTCCGAAATCCCACCTTCAGACTTGAAGGATATCATCAATCGAAGTTACTCGACATTTCGCGCTCCGGACACTACACCTTTGGTTCCTCTCAGCGAAAAGGATAATCTATACCTTTTAGAGTTATTCCACGGTCCTACATTTGCATTCAAAGATGTTGCATTACAATTACTTGGAAATCTCTTCGAATACTTCCTCGTCAGACGGAACAAAGGCAAGGAGGGAAAAGATAGACACCATCTTACAGTTGTTGGGGCTACAAGTGGTGATACTGGATCTGCAGCTATCTACGGTCTTCGAGGCAAGAAAGATGTCTCAGTCTTCATCTTACATCCAAAGGGTAGAGTAAGCCCTGTGCAAGAGGCTCAAATGACGACAGTTTTGGATGCCAATGTGCATAACTTGGCTGTTGAAGGCACTTTTGATGATTGCCAGGTGAGTCATACATCTACATATAGTCGAAATATCTAATATTTCTCAGGATACCGTAAAAGCCTTATTCGCCGACCCGCAGATCAACGAGACAATGAACCTTGGAGCTGTCAATTCTATCAATTGGGCAAGAATTTTGGCACAAACCACCTACTACTTCCATGCATACTTCTCTCTACAAAAGTCGTCGGGATACAAACCCGAAAACAAAGTCCGCTTTGTGGTGCCTACTGGCAATTTTGGTGACATCCTAGCTGGATATTTCGCGAAGCGCATGGGTCTACCAGCTGAAAAGCTTGTGATTGCGACAAACGAGAATGATATTTTATACCGCTTCTGGAAGACAGGACACTACGAGAAGAAGGCGGTCCATGGTGTCGAAGCTGAAGGTGGACTCGTTGAAGATGGCGTAAAAGCACACGAGGATGGTGTCAAGGAGACTCTTAGCCCAGCTATGGACATTCTTGTCTCAAGTAATTTTGAGCGATTGCTGTGGTTTTTGGCCTACGAGTATGCTTCTGCCGCCGGTATGGATGATGAGTGGAATAAAAAGCAAGCTGGTCAGGAAGTCGAAGTCTGGCTTAAACAATTGAAAACAAACGGTGGATTCAATGTCCAAGACGAAATCCTCAAGGCTGCGAACAGAGATTTCGACAGCGAAAGAGTCAGCGACAAGCAAACCATTGGCACAATTAAGGATTTCTATACTAGTGGTTCCTACATTTTGGATCCACATTCAGCCATTGGTGTAGCTGCTTCATTACGATCTGTCTCCCGCTCACCAAATGCATATCACATTTCTCTTTCAACAGCACACCCAGCCAAATTTGCAAATGCTGTTGATCTTGCGCTAAAGGATGAAAAGAGCTTCAGTTTCGATGCAGTACTTCCCAAAGAATTTGTTGGTTTAGAGGAAAAAGAGAAACGGGTCAGAGTTGTACCCAGTACTTCTTGGGAAGATGTTCGAGCAATTGTTGTCGAGGAGGTCGAGGCAGAATTAAAAGGAACTTCATAATATCCATATTACTGTAGTATAACAGGGTAAATCACCTACAATAACTATTCGCGACTTAAATCCCAGTCAAACTGTGAAATCTGCAGCCAAAAGCCCCTGTCATGCAGCAGTGCCTCACTTTAATGATTGGCTTGCTAATTGGGGTTGTGTGAGGCTTATCTCTTTTCAAAGCTGAGTGCAGCACACCACTTCAAACGTACGTTATTGCAGCTCACTCCTTTCCTCGCAGCAAAACACGATCTGTTCATCGTTTGTTGTTATCAGACAACTCGTCTTGGCTGATATTGTACATTATCATGGATCTTGTCGGCCTCACAGCAAGCATCATTAGTATTGCAACACTCGCGGTCCAACTAGGAGATGCCCTGAGAAAAGCAGCTGAATTCTGGGAAGCCGTTCAGGATGCTCCATCAGATATACGTCGATTGTCTAAAGAGCTCAGACTTGTGGCTAACGTCTTTCATGCGATTCAAGTTGAATATGAAGCTGGTAGCACGCCTAAATTTTTCGAAAGCATGGTCAAAGAGGCCTTGGAATTGGCAAAGGATGATATCGATCAGCTCTCCGAGTTTATCTCAGGGTTATCCCGAAATCTATCTTTTGCTAATGAGAGTCTCGGTAAACGATGGAGGAAAGTCCATATGGCCCTCAAAGAGAGTAAAATAGAAAGATTCAGGGATAACCTGGAGGGTGTCAAGACCACCATGGCCTTACTACAGGGCTGCAGACAACAGTAATATGAAATTCTACTATTAATCTAATTATTTGATTGACTCGATGCTTTACAGGGTTTCATTGATTCAAGTTAATAGCAAGATTGATGTCCTAAGCACGAAGATCAGCTCTGTAGCTGGAACAAGCGCATCCCACCAGGTTGCGCTTCAGACATCACCGGAAATGACACAGAGTAACTTTGTTCCCTCAGGTGAATGGAAAAGTTCTGCCGGTAGTGTTTCTAGGTCTATGAATCAATATAATACGAATTTCTTACTAGGCACTCTTAATTTCCGAACTATTTCCACCACTCACCGATATAGCGATGTCGATGGGACAGACGACGCTGACAATTCAACAACCACCAAGACTTTCCTGGTGAAATTTCATATGGGATTCACGACGTGTCGGAAAGGTTTCAGATTCATGATGACAAGCACCTTTGATCGTTATGCACTTGATGTTGTGCGGCGCCGACCAAATGATTCAGAAATTTTTGAACTTTGTATAGATGGCAATGTTCAAGCTGTTAAGAGGTTCCTTGATCGCGGCGAAGCATCTATTCATGATGTGGACGAGGACGGCGAGTCTCTTTTACATGTAAGTATTCCAGCGCAGGAAAATCCATAAAGTGACACTTCTCATTGTTTTACAGAAAGCTGTCATTCGTGATAACAAGCAGCTTTGCACAATGCTTCTTGATTTTGGAGCAGATGTATACTGGAAGGATGACTATGGCATGTAGGTTATTCTAAATGTAATCTATTCACAAGGAAACGTACTCATATATCATTGCAGTTTTCCAATCTCGAGAGCATCGTCATTGACCTGTTTTGCTGCTATATCTGAAGCTGGGTTTGATTTCTGGTCGTTATATGCATCGCGCCCACCTCGACCGTTTTTCCCAAATTTAAGTATTTCCGTATGGCGTTATGTATTCCAGCATAAATCAGCCCAATCAATCGAAGGAAATTTTATACTAGTGATGCCATGCAACATCATAGGAGGACAAAATGTCGAAGTTGTCGACTTTTTAGTTGCCAGGTTTGCGAAAGAGTTGTTCCAACTCGGGACTTTCGAATCATATCATTCCAGGAATCTTGTGAAAAACATTATATTTACTCTTTTCAAAATGTGGCTCGGATCTTTGATGCTTCATTGGTTTAGTGGAAAGGACGAATTTAAAGTGTTCTTATTCGAGCACAAGCTCACTCTTATTTTGAGGCAAGCACTGATGCCCTCGTTTTCACGCGAATCAAATAAAGAGCTCCTTCTGCGTGCTATCACTGGCATATACATAGATGGGGTTTTAGGGATCATAAAAAGATGCCTTTGGAGCGTGGAAATCACCAATGCCATGTTTCGAATATGGTCGAAACCATTCTTTGAGTTAGGAATTGATCTCTTTTCTCATCATCCAAGTACCGAGAGTGACGGTCAAGAGAACAACGACGAGGGGAGTATCGGCGAAAATAAAATTGCAAAACGATATTTCAAAGGCCACTTTATCCATTGTTGCAAGGACATAAATTATTCGATTGTTCGTGAGCATCAACAAGACACTCTTTCGCTTGACATAGATGTTACAATTTTACCGGAGTACTCACATCTTGATCCCCTATTTTTATGCGAAGCGGGTCGGCAACGTTGCGATCGAACTGGTGTGGGTAGATGCCTCTCACGTATCGATGAAACTTTCATCAAAGATGGAAAGTTCTCCATGGATATTCCAGGACAATGGGAAGAGCCAATAGTTCCAAACACGACAATGGAGCTTGTTCTAGACTCACCATTTTCGATGCACCCTCAGATTTGTTACAGCATGATTCATGGCTCGGAACGTAAATTTTATAAACCTGTCACCGAGGAAGACATCCAATGGATTGAGGAAGATTTGCGAAATGGCACTTTGTATGGCTTAAGTGAGGATTCACCTGAAATGCCGGGAAGAGTCTTGTGAGAGAAGTACCGATTTGAACATGACATCTCCTACAACTTTACAATCAATCAATAACGGATCAGAATCAAAATTCGGAATACTCGATCAAGCGTCTTATCCAGATGAACTCATATCGAGTTTGATATGTTACCAAATCCAGATTTCCATTAGAGGCTGAGGGGCTTATCTCCAAAGATATGGATGATAAATAATATATGAAAATTTCAATGAAAATGAGAAAGTCTCCCACCTTTCTATAGCGTGCCGTTAAGGCTTGACTAAATCATACATAAGAAATCATCCCGAGGGTAAGCAACGGATTTCTTTTGGGGGGGGAGTGGGGGCGTGATCCACCCATCTTTACCTTTAATTTGGTGCTCAGGCGGTGTTATTTAGGACGTTTGATTTTCAATTGACTTGGATTTGATAATTTCCCGAAGCTTGATGATATTTACATTTCTCGGGTTTCTAGGTTATAATTCTCTATCTGTTATGTTAGTATTGCGTATCAGGCTCGATAAAAACTTTCATTGGCCAGGTAAAATCGAATAAAGACTTTCACATCTAAGTTCGCACTCAACTATTTTTTCATTACTCCAATTATGATTCAACAATCAGTATAGCTACTTATCTACTCATCTACTCATACTCAACAAATCCCCAATGTGTCCCATCTGTTACCAAATAAATTGAATAACCGCTGTAAAGTTTCGTATGCTCCCATCTGATCGCGAAACACCATATATCTGAACATTCCTCCGATACCCAGGGTTGCAATTCCCCATGTCATAAATTCCTCTCTGAACCATTCCTATACAATAACCAACACCCCAGAAAACTTAAAACTATCATATACACAGCATTTACCTCAGTCTTCTCAACACACGATACGAATCTAACTTCCACAATACTCTTCCCTATAGGACGCGAGCACTTCCTCTACTTTCCACGCAGAATGCGTAAGGTGACCACTAAACGCCCTATATTCGATGATATTATTATCCAACTTTTACATTACAATTTACTACGCGTTCAATAACTATCCTAATAATCAATCATATCACATGTTATGACTCGATTCTACTGTGCCTCATGCTCGCTTGTTGAAGGCGGCGTGTGAATCACATATATTTACATCTATACACCTCATTAAATATACGAACCATATTTACCCTCAGAGAAGTGAGGAAAACAAAAGATTGTTGAACCTCAGAATCACAAAAACCCTATAGATCCCCGCAATTAATCTTTCCCAGATATACATGTACATATTTCTCTATATAACAACAATGTCCGCGCCCACAATCACATCCACATCCACATCCACATCTCCATCTCCACCAACCGAACCCCCTCACTATCACCCTCCCCCTCACCCCTCCCTCCTCCTCCTCGAAATGCTCACTCATATCCTCATCGATCTCGATGTGCCTACTCTCCTCCTTTCTCAACGCGTTTCCTCCTTGGTTGCACGTAATTACTACCTCTCTTGATCTGCAGGAATATTGATCTTTCCTTTCCCCTTTTTCTTCTGATGGAGATGAAAATACAAAAATACAAAAATAGAAAGAGAGAGAAATACAGACAAACCCCAAAATAAAGACCACAAGCCGCTACTCAACCCGCCACTAATCTCCACACTCCCCGCTTAGTTCACGAATCACCTCCAGAAAACAACAATTTCAGTTCTTCTCCTCTTGCTTTTTTTTATAGATTCCAACAGCAATATAGAGATCGTCAAACCTCCACTCCCCATAACCCCCTTGCCAGCTAGCGCGAAATGCTGATCACTTAATTATTTGTGTTATTTATTCTTCTGGAATCAAGTGAATACGCTATGCTGTGTATGGGACTTGTATGGGGAGACGGTTGTTATGGTGTCTGGACTCTGGAGGGGTGAGAATGGGGATGCTGTTTGATTGTGTGTGGGGAGTGGTATGGGGGGTTGGGGTTGATTGGAGAGAGTATGGTGGGGGGGAATTGAAGAGGGGGAAGGGGAAGGGAATAGAAAAGTGAGGATTCAAATGATGGTTACGCTTCGGTGTTGTGAGGAGGAGGAGGATGAGATGAGGAGGAGGGTGGGGTGTTAGGAGTGTAGGAAGTAGAGTGTTGAGTGGAAGGGTAAGGAGGAGAGAGGGGAGGGGGAGGGGAGGGATGGAAAGTGGAGGACATTGAGTAGTTTTGTAATTCATTTTAATATAATGATTACTATTATACATATATTTCAAATTTGACTCTTACGGGGCGCAGCAGGAAGCGTAGGCTAGAGATTGAAGGCTTTCAATATATATACTTTAATATATCAATTAACTATAACGTAGTTTATTAGTGAGCAGGTTATATTAGTAAATGAGTTACTTTATTTTATATATAAAATTCATTTATATGTAATCGTACACTTTATTTATATAATAATATAATTTAAAGAAATCTGAAAATATTAAAATTTAATTATATAGATATTATAAAAAACTAATTTATTATTATTATTGAAAATTCTTTTCTTTTTTCAAAATAATGATTAATTATTAAAATAAGAATATTGAAAAAGACCTAATTTTGATATATTTTCAAATGACTTATTTACTAATATAACCCGCTCACTAATAAATAGGCTGTACAACGGGTATCTGTAGGTGTTACAACGGATTAGTAACAGGCTGTAGAATCACTGACTTATAGGCTATAATGGTATTATAGGCCTTAGTAATTCAGCTGCAATATACCGGAGGACACTAGGCACCCAAGAGATATCTCAGGCATATATATAGTATTAGTTATAGGATACCCTAGAAACCTAAAACATAGTTCCCAGGATAATAGATCCTAGGAAAGACAGAATATAGTAAGCAAGAAGGCTTTACTAAGATTAGTAATACCTTAGGGAATTAGTTCTAAAACAAAAGGACAAGCTAGGATAATAGGAATCACAGGATAAGTGTTATATGATCAAAAGCCGATCGACTTGTTGGTCGACTTCAGTACAAAGGTCTATATAAGGAAGGGGTTTCATTACAATATAGAGCTTTATGTTTAAGAACAATCATTAGTTTTATTACTATAATTATGAGAATTGTAATTAGTTACAACCTTATTGAATTCCTACTTGAAGTTTAGTTTAAACCACTTCGAGAGAACTCTAGACACTTCCACATGACTCTAGAGGCAGCTCCCGTAACAGTAGGGCGGATAATGATCTCGACAGATAATCTACGGATAATTTGTTTATAAAACGAATAATTTAAAAATTTAAATAAGTAATTTACAGGGCGAATATAAATTACTTACAAATATTTACTTACTTGTATATTATATAATTATTTATAATCTTTTATAATATTAGTATAATTTTATAATTAATATAAAAATTAATATAAATCTAAGCTTGAATTACTTTTGAACTAAAAAATAATCTAGGAATAGCTTTATATTTTAAACAAATCTCTACTTTTTTGGAGAATTTATATATCCATGAATTATTTACAGATAATCTGTAGATAATCTGTTTATTTATATACCTGTAGATTATTTGTAGATAATTCATAGGTTACCTGTACAGAATGGATAATTTTAAAGCCTTAACAGATAATCCATGGAGCGAGTAGAACCTCTAACGGATAACCTGTGGAGCGGATTATCTGTAGATAATTCATAGGTATAGATAATTTATGCGCAGCCTACTAATAAACTATATCATAGATAAAAGCTCTAGTATATACATTGAAGCTTTGATTAAAATATATTAAAATTAGTTCGTTTATTTTAGTATCATATAGATTATATTAATTTAACATATAACCTTAATTTCTAGATAAAATAGATTCCGTTCAATGGAAAAGTACAAGAACTCAGCTCGTAGAGAATTCAAGAGAAAACAAATACAAGAAAAGTTCCTCCTCTCTCCTACATCTACTCCCTCCTCCTCCCTCCTCTACCCATCCCCGCGCACCCAGGGGGAGTAAAAATCTTCAAAATAAGATTTCAAAATCTGTATTATATTTTGATGGAATGAATATTCCCTATTTCAGAATCCAATCTCCAAATAGAAGATATATAGGCTGCGTACAAATTATCTATACCTATAAATTATCTACAAATAATCCGCTTTATAAATTATCTATCAAGGATTCTATTTACTCTACAAATTATCTATTGAGATTTTAAAATTATTTACTTTATATAAATAATTTATAAATCATTTATAAATAATTCATGAATATATAGATTTTCTAAAAAAAACAAAGATTCGCTTAAAATATAAAGCTATTTTCAAATTATTTTCCAGTCCAAAAGTAATTCAAATTTAGATTTATATTAATTTTTATATTAATTTTTATATTAATTTTTATATTAATTATAAAATTATATTAATATTATAAAAGATTATAAATAATTATATAATATATAAGTAGATGGATATTTATAGATAATTTGTATCCGTTTTATAGATTATCTGTTCAGATTTTGAATTATTCACTTTGTAGACGAATTATCCACGGATTATCTGTTGAGGTGTTACAGGAGCTGCCTCTAGGGTCACGTGGAAGTGTCTAGAGTTCTCTCGAGGTGGTTTAGACTAAACTTCAAGTAGGAATTCAATAAGGTTGTAACTGGTTGCAATTCTCGTAACTATAGTAATGAAACTAGTGATTGTTCTTGAGCACGAAGCTCTACATTGTAATGAAACCCATTCCCTTATATAGACCTTCGTTCTCGTCTGGATAGCTTGGGTAGACTGTCTATCCATCACGTGACACTTGCCCCGTGACCTACATGATACTACTGCTTATCTAACCTGTGCTTACTAGATAACCTGTACCGCTATCCCTCCTGTGCCTACTGTAGGGTAGGTGCCAACAAAAGATAGGTACCTATCTTTTAATCATTGCTTATTGATTCGGTTACCGCTATCTTTCGTTACCCTTTAATCCAACTGTCCCTACAGTGCTGTTTTCGTAGGTTCCAACACCAAGGCCTTAGGTTTATCTTATAATCCATGTTGCGGTGCGGGTACCTCCGTAACATGAGGTTATTATCCGTCCCGCGGGTACCCGTTGTACAGCCTAAAGATACATATTGTGATTATTTTCAATACTATAGTTGAGAAAAAGATCCCACATTTCCAAATACAAACACAAGAGAAATTTGAGGAAGTGGACGTCGAGAAGAGGAGTAAGTAGAGAGATAAAGAAGGATTCGAAAAGGACTGGGATCATTCTATCGATCTAGGTAGGTAGTGCCATCTCCGTTATGAGAATATATAGATAAATCCATAAATCAAAATTATCAGAGATATCAACAATTAAAAATTACAATTTCCCTATAACGTGGTTTATCATCGAGTGAACCATATCATCGAGTGGGCCACTTCAAAATACACTAAAATTAGCCTTTTCCTAATATTTATATTTTAATAATTAATCAATATTTTTTAAAAAAGAAAAAAGATTTATTAATAAGAAAAGATTTCTTTCATAAATATTTAGTTTTTATATGAAAATTGATATTATATTTTATAAAAATCATAAATTATCACGATTTTCGTTACAAAAATATTATTTTAATAATAACTTCTATATTAATTAGAATTTTAAAAAGCAAATTAGATTTCTATAATATTAATATAATTAGATTTCATAATTTCAAATTTTATAAAATAATATTATTAAATGAAGAAAGTGCACGGTTATACACAAACGAATTTTGTATGTATTTATAATGGCCCACTCGATGATATGGTCCACTCGATGATAAACTACGTTACACACTCCTCCAAACCCCATACCATTAATACCCATATCCCCCACCCAGCCAGCGAACCAAATATCCCGACCTCAAAACAAACACAAGTACAAGCGCCCGAGAAAAGCCCTCAGGTTTCCAAATCATCATTTGAGAAGTGTTTGAGAAGTTAATGAGTGGAAGGTCCTATGATATAATGCGATATATTTTCTTTTGGGAAACATCGCATTTTCTCTTCCTCCCAATTCTGTTCATGACTTATCCACGAACGAAAAAGATTCCTCAAAGTGAGTTTCCGATGCGCAGTGTAAGAAATGATCTTGAGGTGGAAGACTTTAGAGATCTTGAACGAGTGTGATGATGATGATTATGGATGAATTGAGATTGGAGAGAGGTAGAAACTGAAAAAGGGAAGATATAAGTCGACCACCCTACTTTCGGGCCACTTCTGTTTTGGGCCACCTTTTTATACCAAAAATTGCTTTTTTAGTCTATTAATATCTTTATCAATATATAATTTAATATAATAAAAATTTGAATATATATAATTTAAGCTATTTTAAGCTTATTTTGAAAATTTGAAAATTTTAGGAATTTTCTGTATTGAGATCTAGAGCTTTAAAATATCGATTTTTAAATTTGTATGAGAATTACATATAAATTTGAAATTTTTATAAAATCTTTAATAATTTTTTAATAATAATTATTAAAAGAAAACTATATATCTTTTTGAAAGTTTTGAATTTAAATTTTTATAGAAATCAAAAAAAAAATTAAAAAAAATTAATAAATATAGAGATATAGTATATAATGAGTTTAGAATAGTATAAATAATCCCTATAATTTTAAGGGTATTCTTTTAAGTATTTATTTATAGGAAATTTTCTTTTTTTTCTGAATCCTTTAAAATAAATATGTTATAAATTTATAATAAAGTTTTATAGTTTATTTTTAATAATTTTTATTAAAAGTTATTAAAGATTTTATAAAAGTTTCAAATTTGTATGTGATTCCTATATAAATTTAAAAATCAATATTTTAAAGCTTTAGATCTCAATACAGAAAATTCCTAAAAATCTGAAATTTTCAAGGTAAGCTAAAAATGATCTAAATTATATATATATATAAATTTTCAATGGATTCTATTCATAAATAAGAAAGTTAAAAATTCCATTTTTGGTGTAAAAAGTGGCCCAAAAGGGGGGTGGCCCGAAAGTAGGGTACCCGACTTAGTTTGCTAAAGGGGCATTTGGTGGTACTACTTTCATGCGTGTATAGCGTGAATATACGCAATCGAATATGTATTTACGAGACATCTGACTTGAGTTTCTGATTTGTTGCTTAAAAATACCACAGGCATTGCCGAAGGAATCCCTCGTCGCGTTGATATGGAAAAAATCTCGATAGATAGATAGGTTTGCAATCTGGAAGTACCAAGTAATCAACATCATATTGAGATGAAGTACTGCTGAATAGATCGATTTACCATCTCTCGAAGTTTCCGAAAGTGGTCAAAGCCTAGGATGATATCTCGTATTCAGGGACGATGTATTCGTATATCAAAACATGTAATTCTACAGCAATTTCGGGAAAGTGGAGATATAGGTAATGGTTGTAGCATGTCAATGTATCGACTCTGCAGTTTGGAGCACTTCACACTTGAAAGTGTCCAGATATGCACGTGCATCTTCCTCCACCGATGAATAAATTCTTGTCCCAAGGTTGAGTAGATTTCTTTCACCCTGGTCGAATGGATCTTGTCGTACGTCGATTTATGTCGTCAGATTCAATAATCCTGATATTCCTCGAAAAGGTTCCAAGTAAGATTCCAAAAGACTGCCTAGAATATGTGAAGGAGCTGCGGAGGGAGGAAGTCGTATTGGTGTTCGCATTGAGAAGCGTATGTGAAGTTGTGTGAGGTTACCATGTTCAGCCAAAAGGTTTCCAAATTCTGTCCCAAATGTAGACATCTGTGGTCTCCCTGATTTTAACGCCGATGATATATCATCATCTTCAGTAAAAATATCGATGCGAAGCGACGTCATAAATCTCAGTAAGTAAGGTAAATGGCACGGTAGAATTGTTCCTTTGTAGAATTCGTTTACTCCGCTTATTAGCCAGAGATGAAAATGATCGGCCCCATACCACAGTGGCATGGCCTCATGATAAATATGGCGATTCAAACGTAATATTTCAGGGTAGCAACGGCTAGCATCTTCCTTTGAACACCTTTGTATAGTATATGTCACTTGCTCGAGATCTCCTCTTAAACGACCCCGTGTGATTCTTATGAAATTTTTGGCATTAGATTCCGAATTCGCAATTCTGCAGGAAGTTGCGGAAATGGAAATGGATTGGCAACAGGCGATTTATCATCTGAATTTTTCGAAGCAGCTTCAGAAGTAAATACTTTCCTGACTCTTAAGGGAAGAAGTTTGAGAATCTTGGACCTTCGACTTGGTGCCATATCGCATGAAAATATGGTATGTAGAGATTTGAGATTAGAAGGAAGAGATTGGATGAAACTTGTAGTTGCGACTGCTGAATTGAACCACGAGAGGAGGACGATAAATGTATGAGCAATCGTCTGATATCAAATGGGCTTTTCAGAAGTCAGGTAGCGTGATCACTCTTTGTGGGTAACACTATCGATCGAAGCTGGAGGTGGATTGTGAAAGAAAATATTGATATTTGTAAAAGTATTGATGTGTAGTAAAAGTATTTTTGGTAGAAACCTCACAATTTGAGAATGGAAAGTTAGAAGTCTTTTATAGTTGATAGTCAGGCTAGCCAACTCACTAGAGCAGGGCTAAGCAAGAGGACAAGTATTTGTTCATTGAAGATCAATTCGATTTGAATTCGAGGAAACATAATATGTTGATCGACAGTCAAGCAACGAATATATTGAGCCAATGCCAGTGATGTTCCAGTTCAAAAATTGTGAGAGGTGTATAGAACCAATGATAACATCCTCGAATTCGAAGTTCACGATCTTAAGCCATCGAGTAAGCGACGACGAGACTCGAATAGCGATTACGAAATCAAACCTACCTATCTTATCGTCGCCTTCCAAAATGATCCTGAGCTTCGGTATTGAGCGTATTCTTCTGCTAAGAATCGGAACGTATATCCTGAGCAACGGAAGTGATTTGCTCAGCGTACACGAGGGTAAACATTCTCAAGACTTTCAGAGCTCACAGCAGTGCTGACAGCCTCGCAATGCCTGGGTCCATTCCCCAAGCCATAATCTCACAATTCACATGCATTGGTTAAGCACCTGCATCTCGAGATCATGGGAGTGAAGAATGAAGAAAGACTGAACTTTGAAGTTCACTTGGAGCAGAAAAGGCCTTTCACCAAGTACCTACATCTACCAATCCAGCCACACAGCCAGCATACAACCGTACAGCCACATGCACACAGCCACACATCCCTGATCCCCGGCCAGCCTCACAACAAAGCCACAACAAAGCCACCATACATAATCCGTCCCCCTCCCCAAAACTCATCCTCAAAAAAACTTCCCAAAACCCATATAAATCCGCCCCACCCACCAACAGATTTTTCCACCCTAATCCCAATCCATCCCTCTCATCCCCCGCGCACAAACCACTCCCAAACATCTATAAATTCCCCTCCTCCCCAGACCCTCAGGGAAAAAAAGTATCGACAATACTTCAAAGAATCATTTCTTTAGTAAACGTCCTTCTTCTGTGTTCTCTACCAGAGCCACAGACTCCAACTGGGACGATGAGTCGATCCTCGATGCCTCAGAGTGAAACCGTTTGCTTTCGTTCTTTTCATATCTAGGTGTGGAAAGCGATGGAGTTGCTGGAAACAGTGGCGAGATTGTAGAGAAAGTGGTGATGATCTCGACCCTTTTTCTGTTCTTTTAGGAGACGGAATTGGGGTGGGTGTTGATGGATGTCTGACCAGTTTTTGGATTACTTTTTTTTTCATTGCAGATTTGGCTTTAGGCTGAGTTGTGAAGAAGGATGTTTAGTGGTTGGGGGGATTCTTGGGTGGGGTGTGGTGGGATGTATGAGTTGAAGGTGATATTTCAAGGAAGAGGATACGAGGAATGAAAAGGGCAAGGTAGATATGAAAGGGAGGTAGTCAATGGTAACCAGCACGATCAAGGGAACGAACGACATTATAAAATTTGTGGGCTTGCCGCTTGTGTCAAATTTCTCGTTGTGTTTACCGCAAAGACCGGATTAAGTGGTTTCAATGCACGAATTTGTATCAGTTTACTCAAAATATCTGGATATTTGTCTGGTCTACCAATACTGACGTTGATAGATGTTAGAGTTCCGAGGCGTTGAATGCTTGAAACTGCGCACATAAAGGGGTGAACACCTGTAGGAGAAACCTTCACGTCAACGAGCACGAATCATGATGATTTCATGTGATTCCTCTTCATTCTGGCTACGATTGCATATTTTTGTCTGTCGCTTTCTAGATCTGCACAGATCCCCGAAAGTAGAAGCACTTTCCTCAGAATCCCGCCCTTCATTCCCCATTCTGTTAATTCCCTCTCACGTATATGAAATACCCTTCATCCCGCAATTTACGACATCCTGCAGATATCATAATTGCTACTGTTTCAATTTTCTCCTTTCTCATTGTCTAATTTGCTTGCTCTTTCCTTGAACCATACGATCGTCGGTTCTGCTATATCAAGCTTATCTCTTTTCATGAGTTTTCTGGGCTCGGGGTTATCGACTGAAGGCTCTGCTGCAGAGGCGGCGTCCTCGACCCCAAAGACTTCACACACTTCCAGAGTTTTTACTGTCTTGAGTTTTGGAAGTTCTCCTTCGAGGAGGGAGGTTATGTGCTGTTGGTGAGCACTCCCGCCCGAGTCCGAAAACCCCAAGGCGAGTAGTAACGGCCAGTCTGAATGGGTGTCTTTTTGCACTTCAATTACCAGCCTCTCCAAACCAGTACAGAACCTGTTGATGATTGGAATATACAAACGAAGGGTATCAATCAGGTCCTTAGAGCACAACGAGTTTTACGAACCATTAGCGACATGCGTAGAGCCGCTGCCGTCACATAAGTGTAAGACCACTGTTCCACTAAATTATAAGGTCTTTAGCATCTTGGCCTTCTCTTTTCGAATCATTTGAAGGAAGCGGAAAAAGTGGTCGTGGTAGCTGTAAGCAACCTGACAGTCCTCGAGCATTGGGGTTCCAGAGCTTTCGATCAAGCGAACGGCATCATTGACGGCAAAGGAATCGGGCTCGGAGCTACCAAATGGCCATGCATTGTGGAATTGTGTTAGCAGTAGTGGCATTTCATCTAACGGACGCTGAGTGAAACCCGAACCATTTTTAATCCTTTTGCGTGCATTCTCGCAATTGATCCAAGAAATCGGACTACCGGTTTCACTTCAATCCATGGTTGTAAAATGGAGCACGTTTTCCTTATATAAAAACTTGGTTGCATTGTCTCTGAACCTTTTGTACACTCGTAATAGAGTTGCGTCTATCCTGGGGCGAAATAGCTTTCGAAGCTCAAAGTATATTCCTTCTTGATCTTTGCAAGGGTGTATGATGACAGTATTAAAGCTGAGCTCTGACTTGAGACTCCTCTCACCATCTAGAGAATAGGTCTTGTGCGACTTGAAAACCTGTTTCCAATCTGATGTTGTGACATCCGGCGTGACTGTATGATCCTCGATTGTTAAAACGAAGCGGGAGATCGTATCAATGGTTTCTTTTAAAGAAAATTAGCGGTTGAGAATAAAACAGCATTCATCAATAAATGTATGGACGATGATACCATGACAGATTTTGCCGCGATTATGCTCCTGAGATCTTCTTTTGAACTCTCTTAAGTCTTTTGGGGGAAATCAAAAGAAAGATGGATTAAGTATGACCTTTGGGAGTTGAAGAGGGTTCACGCTCCATGCACCAATTACAAAATAAATAAGTTACCTTGAGGAAATTTCAGCAAGTGTCGGTCATGATCCCGAGGCAATGCCCATTCGCTTTCACTCTGATGTGCGATCAACTTCTGGAGTCCTTTCTTCTTTGGTCGATCAATCATGGCCAATATTGGAGTATTTTCAGCAATATGATATATTCTCTTTCAAATGCCATGGCTAGTCTTTCTTTCATATCTAAGAATCCTAACTGTAAAGTATTGAATATCTGCGATCGACCAAATGAGTTTATTGCACCTTCAAAAAATCCAAGGTATTTTGTCAACTTGGATTGAAAAGTTACCATACCAGAGCCGCAGACATGACGAAAGCCATCCTTCCAAAAGTAACGATCTTCAATCCAATGCTTCTTCGCATACTTTTCTAGGGCTCTTCATGCGAGCTTTTCATCGGGAAACTCTTTACGCGCGGCATCAAGATCTTCTTGAGTCATTGGCGGAAGATTGTGGATATGTTCGCGCAGACCGCAGGGAGGAAATCGTGGTGGCATCTTTATTCTGAAAATGTGCAATTTTGAGAGAGAATGAAGAAGTTATTGAAGAGGAATGGAAGAACAGAGAAGAAATCCCTCTCAATATATAGTACCAATCTATTCAGGACATCTTGTTTGAGTGATTGATGCTGCATTTGTTATTGAAGGAAACTGATCTTAAGTTTGAATATGCATGAGACTGAAAATGAGGCACGTGCCAGACTTCAGTTCTCGTTTTGACCAGACCTTTCATATTCACTTCTTTCCTGCTTCACTCAATTCATGCATCTCACCCAATGAAGCCAAATATGAGAAGAATACAAAGTAAAATCATATGCTAACTTTGGAAAACGAAAACTTAGGAAATGATCTATGGCTAAGTAGTCACAACACAGTACCATTTCCTAATGATCAACTTACTGCTCTTAAGCGGGCATCTTACATAACACAAATGCTTTATTCATGCGATATAGGTAAAAAAATAATAATTATACAATATAGCAAGGAAAAACAATGAGATGAAAAAAAAAACACTTGGATGGCCGAGGGAATCGAGGGAGATTGAAGTCAGAGACATGCATGGCAGGGAGTACCTGATTTGCATCTTGTCAAGACTTACTTGTGGAATGTTAGTCAGGACTTATGAATAGTACAAATCGATAGTTTTCTAGTTGAGAAAAGAGTCATTGGCAGCAGATTATTATTTTAAAGTAGATGTGTTATGTTCGTCACAGTTTTTCAAATTCAAGCACCTAGAATCTGAGTCTAGTGTGATGGTTCAATTACTAAAAGATATGTTTGCTATAAACTCAGCATCTTGGATCCATCAATGATGCTTGTTCTCCCCTCAACGTCAATATCTCTGTGGTCTAATCTCATGACTTGTCGGAGGAAAGTTGCAGGACACCGATTGTGCTTCTGAAACATCAGACAGAAGGTTCGACAGAGCTACTGGCATTGTCGTCACCGACAGTCAAAGCCTGCATCCTACTCTCCAGTTTCGCTTTCCCAAGCGCCTCAAGTCCCCGCAGGCGAGTTCTCTCAGAAAACCATGTTTCGGTTTCTTTCGCACACTCTACTTCATCCCGGTCATCCTCGTAGACCTGAAGATCTTGAACCGTGTCCAACTCTCTCATCTGGTTTTCCAGCAAAGATTGCAGACGTGCATAACACTGGCGTTCTCGTTCTTCATGGTCATATTGTGTGCGAGATCCCCTGTAGTTATCGCTTGTCTCGTAGTCTTTCCACATGGCGATCACCAACTTTTGCAAGTTCGTGCAAAATCTCTTGATGAGAGTAATGTATAAGAGGAGACTCTCGATCAGGTCATCTAAGCACCACTTGTAACCTTTTGTGCAGCTGGAATCCTGAGAGCAATAGTGTGACTTGATGTGCCCGCGAAAATGTAGGGTCTTGATCATAGCGGCCTTACTTGGACCAATGACACGAAGGAACTGACAAAGAGATCGTGGTACATGTCAAAGTCTAGGTCTAGTACCGGTGTTCTATTCTCGATGATTTTGATAGCATCATCGGCCATTCTTTGTCGTAATTCTATGGCTTGTGGCTCATCTCTTCCTTGACAAAACGATCTATTCGACCCAGAGCTTGGATACAATATGCCATCAAAAAGGCTAGTTGGGGCACCTAGTTTGCCAGTCTTTGTAGTTTTGAACTCGAATTCGTTTCCTGCATATAACAGTTTTGTTCCCTGATTGCAGATGCTCTTGCAAACTCGTAGAAGTGTTGCATCGATCAGATGGCGGCAAACCCTGCGAAGAACAAAATATTTGCCCTGGGAGTCGTATCGTTGCTCGTGAATTACTGTGCTTACAACGAGAGAATCAACATGAGGCCCACGTGGTAGACTCATCACATCACCCGTTTGGGCTAATGTGTAAGTTTGATGGAATTTGCAGTATTCATACTTTTGCACTTTGTTCGAGGTGGAGACATCTGGCAAAATAGTGTATTTCCGAGTACTCAATATGAACCCAAAAATTGCATCTAGAGTTTCTGCGTCTAGATGATTAGTGTTCAGTTTGCAACCGGCAGTTTAAAGTTAATATACCTTGTGGAAAATTCAAAAGATGACGGGGGTGATCACGAGGCAAATCCCATTCCTTTTCGCTCTTGTGCGCGATTAGCTTCGAAAGCCTCTGTGGCTTTAGTATGTCAATTTGTGACAGCTTTGGGGGACCACCCAATGGAACCAAGTACTTCTTATAGTCGTAAGGACAACGAACTTCTTTGGTTCTGGGCATCCAGATTTGATTATAATTGATATCTGAAATGATCAGTGAGCAAGAAGTCTTAAGAACACTAGATTGTTTGTGTGATTTCAACATACCATTACCGCAAGTATAGCGGCAGTTATCTTTCCAGAACCATCTGTTGCTACTGAATCCCTCCCAATTATCGCGGGCATAATTTTCTAGAGCCCTGGATGCCAGCTTCTCTTCTGGAAACTGGCGGCGTGCTACCTCTAGGTCCTCTGGAGTATAAGGTCCAAAGGCACCAGGGCGGCCATAAATTTGTGGTGCTGGCATTTTGATGTAGTTATGGGGGTTGCTTAGATGTTGGACTTGAAGTTGGAGTTGATACTACTATTGATGTTCAGGTTGAAGTTGAAGTCGAAGTTAAAGTTGAAGTTCAAGTTGATGTTGAGAGAAAGTTTGTAGGAATGGATGTTGGAGCGAAGGGAGCTTATAAAGCCACTGGAAAGAGTTCGGCTCGCTTGTTTAAACGCTAGTCTATACAGCAGACGTTAAGCGACACATTGGCTTATCATTATTCAAATTAAGTATGGTATAATTCATTGGGAATTTATATGAATATTCCTATTCACTCTGCTCAATGTTTGCTTCCGCATTCATGAACTGCAATAACGGCGACTGCATGATTTTATGCCCTTGTGTTCTAATTTTTCAATCTGATTCAAGGGAGAGTTATGAATGTCACATTTTTGAATGATGGGAAGTGACTGTTTAGGCGGTGCATGCAGGGTACTTATGCATTCCGGATGAAGTGTTCATTGGCAAATAGGGATACAATTCAAGCAAACTTTTCAACGTCACCTGTCACTGACTTGGAATTGGCCTTTAACTGGGAATGGAATCACCCGTGGACTGGGTAGGTAAACTATAAAGGGTCATCAAATCACGATTGTAAGACTCAAATAATATTAGACAATTTTATGATATTCTATTACTTGAGCTCATTCATTACTAGCTAAAACAAAATAACCCCCGAGATCTACAGGTCAGAAGACCGAACCAAACTCCCAGCATCTTAGCCCGATGAAACCAAATCTTTTAGACTTGAGTCTCCCAATCCTATACCCACAAAGAATTTATTGAGCATGCTCTAATGATCTTAAGATTTCGATGCCCAACCTTTTGCCCTATCCTCAAACCATTTACATGTTTCTACAGCAAGAGGAAACTTCATTGGTTCATAAAGATGATTTTTCTCAGTTGGTTTCTCTTCGTTTCGCGTGCAAATAACCAAAGTTTTGACTGTCTCTAACTTTCTAAGTTGAACTTTCAGGAGCGGAATAAGATTATCCTGGAAGCTAGACCATCTCAACCATTCTTTATTGTCGTAACGACGATGAACATCCGGAGAGATGTTCAAGACAAGATTTTCTAAGTGCGGACAAAGCTCACGGATAAATTGTAGATAGATGAGGAAGTTCAGCATAAAGCCCTCGCCACAAGTCTTATGGTGATCTCTTTGTGAATCGCAGCGATGAGTTTTCATGGTTCCAGAAAACTGCAGAGATTTGATAAGCTTCGCATTTTCCGGGCCAATGTTATAAAGGAATCGAACGAAGGGATCTTGGTAAGCCCAACCTGCTAAATCTTTGTCGCTAACCGATTGTTTTACTTGAGATACTACGCCTTTAACTTCGACTAGCCATTCATTGTACGGCTGTAGTACTCCAACATTCTCTGTGTGTCTATCTGGTTTGAGGACGGTCGAGCTTGAACGAGGTCCATCTTGATCGTATATCATATATTTTCTCGAATTCCTATAAGTCGAAATGTCAAACGTAAAAGTGTTATGTCTGTATAGCATCTCGGTACCATAATTGTGGAAAGCTCTACATGCTCTGAGACAGCTTGCATCAATCATTGGACGTAAAATGTTTTGCAGCTGAATGTAAGGTCCGACTTCGTCGCTCAATTCAGATTTCTTGATGGATTGCTGTCCTCTCTCGAAAAAAGTATCTCCAAAAATTCCAATGGATGGATGATATTTCTCAGCAAAGGCATACACACGGTAACCATTACGCGGAAGATCTTGGTGAACAGGTCCAGGGTAAGGAGGGCGACCGATTTGGTAATGGGCTTCTTGGTAGTCGCTTTTTTTGTTACTAGTCATCGCTCTAGGGGCTATCGAGCCCACGTCCTCGCCAACAATGAGATTATACCCAATAATTTTATCCAGAATCTCTATAAATTGAACAAGAGTTAGCCATCATCTACATGTGAAGTCATTAAATTTGAATGATGGCAAACTTACCTTGTGGGAAATTGAGCAAGTGTCTAGGGTGAGATCTCGGAAGATTCCAACCTCCCTCACTTGAATGATTTCCAATTGCTTCACGAGCTGCAAGTGTCTCCTTAGTTACGCGGTCCACATCCTTTAATGAAACTGGACTGTCCCAATAATCGACATAAGTCTGAGTCTCTGTCGTTGATCTCCAACGTGAAAGATTTTTCCAAAGTTGAGGTTGGGCTTTATAATGGTAATATTCAATATCTACAAAGATGATAAAGTTAGTGTGTATTGAATGATTAAATTTACTCAGTGATAAACATACCTCTACAAATGATATGACGGATCCCATCTTTCACGAACCATTGATTATGGATCCAGCGAGCAAGGACTCGTTTCTGAAGGGCCTCCCCAGGAGTAAGATCTGGGTATTCGGTAGATGCGCGGAGCTGCTCTTTCGGAGAGTTTTGCTTATCAATGTAATATTCTTTCGCAGACATCTTTGGTCTGGATGGAAGACTGAAATGGCTGGATATTGAATTTAATAAATTCATCTCAAGCTTTGAATGGGAGATGAAGTTCTCGATGAATAAGTTCTCGGTGGATGAATTATTTGATGAAGGGAGTCCCTAATCAAAGAAGTTCTTGATGAAAGATAAGCAGGAGAGCAAGAAAGCTTATTTGGAAAGGGAATCTATTTCCCTGATAAGCACTCGTGGAAGGCTTCTTGGTAAAATCAGCAACCGTAGCAAAAGAGTCTAACAAAGATTACCTTTACAGTCAACACCGTACTCTAGATCTATTCCATAACGATGGACAGGATACTAACGATATTTCAGCAATACTAACTATTACGGTCAGATTTCTAGCTTTTAACAGATACTTCGTTCTGTGTATACATGTCGTACTAGAATCCGCATCGCGATTCATACCGTATCGCATATTGTGATTAATGAATATAACTTGAGCGTGAATCATCAAATAGCACTGGTATCTTGTATGGCTGGACGACCAAGTCTTAACATGCACTTCATGTTGTCCTTTGTTATGTTCATGAATATTGGCACGATTTTCGTTATCTTATTGTCTTTCGCTAGCTTTGACGAGCGCGGTGAGCGGTGATGGTTTAGGCACGGTTAATTAACCATAGCTACGGCAGTGTATGATAATAGTTGCGTAATCCAAATCAGCATTTGCATGATACTTTGCGCCCTGATTCAATCTTGGATCTGTTAATAGTTGATAAGAATTTGACCGTAATTGTATTGTAATCATGCGATGCGGAACCATTTTTTAGGTAGAAACTCAAACCCCCTTATGAAAAACCCCACGCTCGCTTAAAGAATCCTAGCCTAGATTTTGTATTCTACACCATCAATATATTATGTATCATTCAGATGGCGAGTTTTATTAGATTTGAAAAATGCGGAAATTTACAAATTGCTTAAGATTATAAACTAAGAAGTCATGTTTAGAGGCTGTGAATCCTTACAGAGCTGTGAACTTGCATGTAGAATTAACGGCGTGAATGGCTACAACATATTGATGATTGCTAATTTCCAGAGAAGAACAATCTATTTCTTTGATACTCAACCACATTTGTGAATTCTTGAACTCATTTGTTGGTGAAGAACGTTCAGTAGCATCCGAAGAGGGTTGAACCTCACTTCCACTCTCATGACGTGCCATTCGTCACTTTTTCGTGAATCACCTACGGTATATCACAGGAAATCACTGCATCTTTTACGAACTATTATCATAAAAATATTTCCGTAACTAGATGGGAAAAATAAAATCCTAACACCGCTCCCAGAAAGTATCTGCTCCTAATGTAAATCTTACCGCAAAAACTCTAAAACATAAATCCTTTTAGTCTCCGATCCTCAGCTGCTATTCTCGCTGTTCTGTCCGCAAACCATTGCATTGTCTCTTTTGCAAGGGCAAATTTAATTGGGAACGTACTTCTCAGATTTACTACTGTCAGCAGTACGTAATATCAAAGTCTTGACGGTCTTCAACTTCCTGATGTGATCTCCCAAGAGTGGAGATAGGTCCAATCCGAAACTATCATCTCTACCTTTTTCTGGTTGAATGTTCAAGGTGATTTGTTGTACATTTGGACAAAATTGGTTGATAAATTTGACGTAAATTTGTAAGTTAAGTCGTATGTCATCTGACGGCAGGGAGGGAGTTTGACCTCCAGGTAATTGGTTTGCAGTCGTCCTGACTTCCCCAGTAAATTGAAGCGTTTTCAAAAACGCTGCATTTTTCAAACCTATGGTATGAAGAAATCGAAGAAATGGGTCGTAGTACAGCCAACTCATTCGGTCTACCGTGGAAGAATCCTGAATTTGAGAAATGCCGTTACCAATTTCATAGTTCCAATCACTCAGAGATAAGAGACTTGGATCAGGCTTCCCAGATTTTGCATCCTCGTATCGTTCTTTGGGTTTATTTTCATCCACCATGCACAAGCTTCCAACTCCCCAAGATCGCAGGCTGAGTCCATATGTGGTGAGAGTGAAACTGTTGTCTCGGTAAAGTAAGGCTGAACAAAGATTGTAAAATTCTTTACAGACACGTAAACAACTTGCGTCGATGTAGCGTTCTTGAACGAGATAACTCTGACTGATTCCTTACTTCGTACTTCCGAGCAATGTGAGCCTTTATCCGGAATTTGAACGACCATTCTGAGTGATTCCAGGGATCAGATTGGCATCTGGGACCAACATATTCGGAACAATGAACACTGTAGTCTGCCTCTCGATAGACAAGCAGGTTGTCGATGTTACAAGTAATCGTTTCTGGGACCAAGGAACCTTGTTCTTCGCCTACAATGAGAATGAAACTAAGGATTTTGTTGATAATTTCTATGCGCAACACATAAGTCAGCCATGAACAATCACAAATGAAAAGTAAAAGTTGGATATACATTATCGCTAATGTAGATTTTAAGTTCTTTTTACGTACCTTTAGGAAACTTCAGAATATGATGAGGATGCGATGCGGGATGATTCCAAGAATCTCCAGGGTCTAGACGTAGTAACTTGCGCGAACGCAACAACCGCTTAGACTTCCTTGAGCCGAGGTGCTTTGAAATAATCCGAGATGAACCAGAAAGGGACTAATAACTCGCCACGAGGCTGTCGTTTATCGTAATAGAGTTTTATATCTATAGGGGACATTTTAGCACAGATAGTTGTATGAATCATATGTCAATATGAGGCAGAAATCTACATACTAGGGCGAAAAATATATCGTGTACCACCTTCCTGGAACTCCACACCTCTGATCACGTTTTCGATAATGTACGTCGCAAAAGCTCTATCAAAACTGTCATCTGGGTATTCTTTTTGAGCTGCTCTCTTGATCTCATCGAGATCTGGCAGATTGATTGATGCTTCTTCATCAGACTCAGACTCAGACTCAGAATCATCATATAGTATGGCGCTCATTCGGTAAAGAAATGAATTCATACTCGATCTTGAGAAGGGGAACATTTTGGTCGTTGATAATGTATGAAAAAGTAGAATTGCATCTCTTATCTCAAAGAAAAATTCAATCTTATATCTCTAAGATCTGCTCGCCTGTTTTTTATTGCCGTACTCAGCAGCATATCTACTGTTTTGCCTTAGAGTTGACTATGAATTTTATCCAGGTCCTTCTGATGGAATTTCCTGATACCTCACAATCCTTAGTACTACACATTCACGAACGCATCAGGTACATTTGATGTTGCGAAACGCCAGTGATTGTGTTGTGATGCAAGTTAACATGCACACTTGAGCACGCGGTAGCGCATAAGTGTATTGCATATAGCTCTCTTAGCTCTGAACCTAGAGGAAATCCCAAAATATCAATAAACACACTACCTCCTATTATAAAAACCTTATAATCGCTACCTCCGACCTAATCACCACCAGGACAACACCAAAAAATCAAATCCACAATCTGACAACAAAATTTACAAGTCTGTGAGAAAATGGTATGCGGGTTCCGAAAAATACAGACTGCATTTGAGTTGTAAAGACATGAAAGGGGATGTATAATTATTGAAATAATTCTAGAGGGTCACTATCATGACCATGGGACATAGTTAATTTACCAGAATGGCTTTGTTGCTGAACTTTATGCCTAACGAATAAAGCGGGTTGTCAACGTATTCATCAACATAAATTGTCCAAGACGAAAGGGACGAAAAGAGAGAACTTTAGATGAAACAAGAATAGAGAGAGTGTGGATGGAACAACGCTTTACACTGACTTGAGTTAAGATCACAAGTTTACGAGAAGATATCAACTTCACGAGAATTCACATTTATCAAACACTTCTTTATTGTAAGCCAATAACTTTTGCGCTTGAATTATTTAAGTCTTATCATGAATAGCAAATCTTGTATTTGATCGACTGTTCAATCTAGATAATTTCTCCTTGATCGCCTAGAAGAAGCTTAACAAGAACCACAATGGTCCTCTTGTACATGAATCGCCACAGTTGCTTACACTGGTTGTTGATCAACTTCTATCTGTGACGGTTCTCTCACTTTGGAAGTAGCTGGCTGACCTGCTCCAGGTAGAATCCTTGAGTCCTTCACCATATATCTCCTCCAGTTTTAATCTTCACTCCATGAGTCAGTTCTTTCCACCTCGATATAATTTGCCTAGGATATATGAAAGCTGAAGATTCCTGTGCTAGGTGCAGCTTGGGCAAAGAAGACCGATGACATTGCAGAGTACCATAAACTTCCATATTTCCCGATATTTCCCATATCCACACTTTCCAAACTTTAAACATGATGCCAAGTCGGTACAGAAAACTTTAATCCCTTTCACTTCTTTGACGTCGCCCAGATTGCTGATTTTGTCGCGGTGCTTCAACCCCTACATTGTTATTTTCTGCGTACTTCGCCGGAGTATGTGCAGCAGTTCCAGTCAGAATCTTGGTATTATAAGTTTTGGCCATCGGCGTGCTCTTCGACTTCGTCTTCCAATAATCTCAGGCTCCCTGCCGGACGACTCGGCCTCTGATCTAACAAGTGAACTGACTTGATCTTCCATAGCTATCTGAGGCTGTTTCGATGCCGATTTTTGTTGCCGAGCCGTGTCCTCTGGAGCACCACTATCACTTTGATACTCGTTTGGGAAAGATACAGCTATCCTAGCCAAGCTCATGTCATTGTATGTTGTGACCTTTTTGCGTACTCGCTGACTTCGTCTACCTGTACTCTCAGGCGTCTCCTCCGTTGAATCAGGCGCAGGTATACTCATTGCCTTTCGCTTTCTCATAGTAGTTTTCTTTTTCACCTCTGTATTCTCCGTTTCCCTAACTTCCTTCGGAAGAAGCCTCCACATCTTTTTCTCAACACTTTGCGAGACTGCACTTTCTCCCCAACCGATCTCATTCGCAAATAACAATTGCTCATCAGTAGGTCTCCAATCTAAGTCACACTCTTTGACTGGTGGCTCAATCCAAATTCCATGATGAAAACGCTTTGTCGCATTAGATATTGCGGCTTTCATGCCTGAAATGCCTCTCTTAGAAGCTGTTCCACTCGGTTGATTTGATTCTTCATCGCTCGAAAAAACGTCTGGGCTCTGTGCTGTGTGGTCTGAGATCTCATCGATGTCTTGCGACTTTGAAAGGTCAAAAAGTCGCACCATCGTACTATAAGTTGAATTCGATAGATGCTTCAGACAAGCTCGACTTTCCGCAGTGGAAAAGGATTAAGGTTCGCTGAAAATATATTAGATATATGGATTGGAATTTGCATCCTATGTGGATTACTTGTAATTGTGGTGTCAAAACTTACCAAGAGGCAGAGTAAAAAGAGGTTAACAACAGAAAATTATCATGTGTGATGATTGAATTTGCATCCATTTCCTTCTGGTTCCCCCGAATAGAAACACAACACTTAACGCGACTTAACGTGATAGTTTAATCTGGTAACCTGGCTGTAACTTTCGACTCTCAATTTGTGAAGATTGCTTAGCAAATAATTTGGCAATGATGTTGTCCAAAGAAATATTTATCAAAACTTAAAATAACAGAGAAAGCAGCGGCGTCGACCTCAACCTTGAAAAGTCAACCTTGAAAAGGAAGCTACTTTCTGTTGTTAAAAGAGACTTCAGGTCCGAGAACCTTCTATTTCAGGTCAAAACACGTGTGACACCCATTAGCGAGATAAATGAGCCTTGGCAGTTTATTTGTACTTCTTGCTCGGGACTGGATATCTTTTTCTATTGGTGAAATTCCATACCATATATCGTCTCGAGAACGATCAGATGTCAATACACAACTTAAAAATCTTTCCTCCTTGTTTACATTCATTGACCTGGTTATAACAGGGCAAACTCAGATGAAATCCTTCAAGACATTTTGAGATATGAGGATGAGATATATATGTGATAGAATAAAGAAAAGTATGCCGTGATAGATAGTTCTAGAAATTGTAACCACAAAGTCAAATTTTGTTCATGTTTCTATCACAGAGTCACGGCCATGAATATTTCATTGAAGAATAATCCTGTAGGAAGGCCAACGCCATCTACGACAATAAAGTATTCAATATTATCTACTCTGTATCCCCTATAATTAGGAATAGAATCCTCTGAATTCCACTAATCTAATATTGAACCCACTCCTTTGCTTTCCACAAAGCTTTTGCACAAAGGATACCTATTAAAGTCCTGAATACCCACTAGAGATTGGAGTAACACAATTCAGAGCATCCATGTTGAAATCCTAACAACGGAAATTCAATGCATTGATTACTCTTCTCTTTGGTTGTGGTGTCTCCAAAGCCATAAGAGTCTTTTCCCTCTGAATCTCTTCATGCTCCCACTTATCGGTTCTCTCTTTGAACTACCTAGTAACCTTCCTTTCTAGTTCTACCACTCTTCTACGATGAAGTTCGGGAAAAGTGTGAGTTACTTTGATCGGCCCAGGCTCAACAATATTGTAAATCGGTTGAGCTTCTTTCAATTGATAGATCTCAAGACAACGAACCGTCTTCAGTGTTCTCAACAGCTTTTCGAGAGCTTCAAATCTCATAATGGCCCTTGATTGTGTGTGAACCAGTGGAAAGTACATTTTATCCTCTCCAATGCCAATCACCATTGTTTGGAGACTGGTACAGAACTTGTTGATTAACGGGATGTATAAGTGAAGGCTCTCATACAAATCTTCCTCGCAACTTAGTAGACGTTTAGGACGTCTACACCTATGTGTAACAATCCTTCCGTAAAAATATAACTTTCTGATCATAGCAGCTTTAGCTGGACCAATGATGTGTAAGAATCGGATGAAGTGATCGTGGTAGAGATAGTCTTCAAGATCATATGTTGATACCTGGGTTTTGATTGCATGAATTGCCATCAAAAAGTATCCATCAGGATTATAATTCCATTATCTTCGAGTATAGTGTTTCAGTGTCACATTACCCTTGTGTACTTTCCCAAAGGCCAGATATCCTGGACTACCAGCACTGTGAAGCTGCGTCATGGAGAACTGAAATACATTCTTCGCATACAACATCCTTGTCCCTTGAATCGAAATGGTCTTACAGACTCGAAGTATTGTTGCATCGATCATTGGACGGTAAACTTTGTGAATCATGAAGTATGCGCCATTTGAATCATGATGTTTTTTGGTGATGGTGGTGCTCAATGGAAACAGGTGGTCCGAATCTTCGCTGTTGTAGAAATCTGGTGGTTCATATCTCTTGCCGTCTAATGTGTACGATTGTGAGACTTTATATGAACTTCTTTTATTGCTCAAAGTAACATCAGGTGTGATGGTATGATCTTTGATGACCAACTTGAAGCCCAGAATGAGATCGAGAATATCTGTAAACAGAAAGATTAGTATTCAAAGTATCTATCTTTTGAATGATAACATACCTTGAGAGAAGTTTACTAGGTGATGTGGATGACTTCGAGGTAGATGCCATTGTCTTTCACTTATGTGTGAGACAAAAGCTGAGTTTGATTTCGGTCTATCAATGTAAGATAGAGATTTGGTTTTCATGGTTGAGACATAATAGCAATCATGATTATTCCATTCTTCCTTGTACTCAGGGACTTTTGTGTCGTAGTAGCCAATGTCTAAAGAAATTTTAGTAAGTGTGGCCATCAAATTTAAACTCTAGACTAGGTTATAAAACATACCTGGGCTATAAACATATCTCTCGCCATTTTTCCAGAAAAATTCAAAGTCATGAATTATACCCAATCTCCCTTGCGCTACTTTCATGAGTTTTGATGCAATGTCGTTCTCAATATCTTTGATATCTTTTTCGGTAAAAGGTTTAGTCTTGGATTGGACATTAACCTGAGTCTGGGGTATTTCCGACATTTCGCTTCTTCAAATATACAAAGCGTTGATATATAGTAGATCAAGAATGATTAGGTCTCGGTTCAATGTCCTTGTGGATATGTATTGAAGTTGAGAATTTGGTTGATTGAGATCTGAGATAAAGAAGATAGACAGACAGATGAAAGAATGGTTATGAAGGTACTGATGAAGTAACACAAGAGAGAGAGAGAGAGTGGGAGAAAAGCTTTATACTTAACTAGCTTCCTTAGTTTGACAGTAGTACAGCCTCCTACTAGTAGAATAGATCATACAGTACCTATAACTGAGTATTCCAAGGATCCTGTCTAGCGAATAGTAAGAAAGTAGCATATGCTGAGAAATTCTAGTCTTAGAAATCCCTATAATTATTCACTTACCTCGACTATTATTCAAACGAAATTTCTAGACCAAGGCTCTTATTTGACTAGCTAGGTGAACAACATTATCCTGCTAGAACTGATTCTAGTTATCCATGGAAAATGTAGAAATAGAGAAGCAAGTTAAAAGAATACCTAGCACCGGTCCGAATGGGTTTACTCTTCTGGGGAGCTGAGCCGCATGCCCTTCACTGGGTAACCAGGACTTTTAGTCAAAAATGCTAATACTAACCCAAGAATCCTGATATACTGTTCATTGTAATCTATCTATTTGTAATGTTTACAAGAATATGTAGAAAGAATTATAAAATACTAATATCAAAGACCTTAATAGGCTATCCATTAATTTACAATTTATTTCTTATTAATATCTACCCAAAAACCTTCATACACATTCCCCCATCTGCTCATAAATCAGAACAGCAATCAAGATCCCTCTAATCTCCTACTTAAACCACGTACTCACATCTACTTATACACAAAACCGACCCCCCTCTCAAAAAAACAATCCCAATCTCTCACCACCTCCCAAATCCCAAACTCACCTAAGTATCAATACAAACTCCTATTAATTCCACGCCTATTCTCTTCATATCATAAATTTCATGATTATACACTCCTACTCGTACGATCATTTCTCATTTTACATCTTACTTTCAAGACAAGTGAGATCTTTTTTTAGTTAGTTAGACAGATATAATGCTAGATAACTTTTAGGGTGTATGAGCAGGTAGGTATTGGTAGACTTGTAGATGGCTGGGTATGTGTTCATGGGAGGGTGTTTTGACGAAATGGTTCTTTTAGTTACAACAACACCACAAGCAAATTTATGAACGTCCACATCCACATGCACACTCACACTCACTCACACTCCTAACAAATCACCAAACGAAATCACCACCCCCACAAAACCAATCCTAATAAAAGCAAGCAAGCAAGCAACTATCGATTTCAAATCTCTCAAGTGACTATCTATCTATCTACTTGGTAAGCGAAATAAGTGCGTAAGTGCGTAAATTCGTAAATCAAGCACTCACCTAGACTTCTCGCAAACTTCCACTATCTAGCTAAGCCTCATCATATACTTGTATTTACTTATCCATCCATTCATGCATGTATCAAATCCTCCATTCGTTCCTTCAAAACAATAGCACTCATCTCAATAAACACATATAGCTATTGCTGTCCGCCCTATCCTCCCATTCATTCATTCATCCACAGCAAACAAACAACCCCCTAGCAAAATGAACACTATCCACCCTGCAATGCACCTGATTGTCCATCCTCCCACTATACTGTAAAACCACTCCGCATTCGTAACACATTAGGACAAGCACTAGACACTCAACTCAAGAACCTAAGCATCATCATCATCCTCGACCCTTCTGAACTCTTCTTCCCATTCAAATTTCGGCAAGACCATGGATTGACGATGACTTCTTCTTCGTTGAGTTTCTATCGCCCCCAAACAAACAAAACATTAGCAACATTCCCAAACTCTAATCCTGTATGCAAAGCACATCCCCCATAATGTGACAAACCAAGATCAAAAAAAAATAAAGAAAAGAAAAAAAAAGAATACATACCCGCCTCCACAACTCTCTCCCGTGCAACAGCCATAGCTTCATCCCCCGCATATCCAGCTACACCTCTATATTCCGATTGCATGGTGACTGGTCTCGCGATTCCCGAATTTCCCGTATTTCCACTTCCACTTCCAGCTTCACGCGTATGATCCATACTCATACCTATTCTATCCGCAGCACCACTAACAGTACCCGCCGCAGTGCCACCACTCGTACTCCTCAAGAAACCCTGCATACCCAATCCCATCCCCTTAAAACTAACACTTGCTCTGCGTAGGAAACTTCCTCGTCTAGAACCCATTCCCTCGCTGCTATTCCCGGAATATCTGTCTCGTGCACTACCTCTCTGATTCATAGCCATTCCCATTCCAATACCCATCCCGGTATCGCCAAGTCCTCCATGCATATTTGCATTTGGATCTTGGTTTGAGTTTCCAAATCCCATAACGCCGATTCCACCTAGACTGGTGAAATTAAAGCCATTAATGGGGGTGGTCCATGAGCGACGGAAACCCCGACGTTTGGAACTTAGAGAGGTAGAAGCGATGTAGGTTGGAGAGACGGTGGGTGGGGTACCGGTGGCAATAGTGGTGGGTTCGACGGGATGGGAGAGGAGGGGGTTTTCGTGAAGGCTGGGGGGGGGGGGGTGTTAGTTTGGGAGTTTTGGAGGGGAGTGAAATGTATTTGGAGGGCTAGATGGGTAAGTTGAAGAGGATAGCTTCAGAAAATGTAGAAAAACTTGAAAAAGAACAAAGGAAAAATAACTCACAGATCCATCTTTTCTCTCTCCTTTCTCTCCTTCTCCAATCGTTCTTTTCTCTCCTCCTCACTCTCACCAACTTCCTCTTCTTCTCCCTCGCCACCTTCACCTTCATTATTTCCTTCCTCTCCACCTTGTACTCGTCCTGGTCCCTCGAATTGGTCCTTCCAATCCATGCATTCTTGTCGATTAACAATGCAAGCACCAGTTCCGATGTCCTCAATCGCGCGTCCATAAGGAACAACTTCCAGACCTGCATCACCAGCTCTAATTGTCATTGGAACCGGCTTTCTCGGAATAGTAAAAGCGCGTTCTCTTCCATGCGTAATTCCTCCTTGCGTACCCAGTCCCACAGCACTCAATCTTGGAGTAGTAAAACCCGAGCCCGAACCCGATCGTGATCCCGAGCCCGGAATCGCAACAGGACCATGATCCATACCTCGATAATTGTGAACGCGAGATCCGGAGGCTGTGACGGTGGGAGTTGGCATATTGATACTTCCAGGGTGTTCGGTTCGCTCGTGTGCAGTGACGCCGATACTTCCTGCACTCGCTGCAGCAGATCCAGATCCAGGTCGGGGACCAAACATACCTAGTCCATCGACGGGACTAATCTCCTCACTTGTACTTCCTGCTGCACTTTCTGTACTTCCCTCTCCACCACCAATACCACCAGCGCCAGCACCACCAGCAACCACATCCGCAAACCTCCCCACCTCATCCACGGCCTTCAAATTCGGCGTCGGCGGCAAATTCTCACTGGGGTTGGTGTAAGTCGAACTTGTAGTCACCAGCGGATTATAACTATTTGCACTCTTGGTTGTGCTAGTGGTTGTTTCCTTGCTAGTTGCGCTCTTTTGGGTGGTCTTGCTGAGGGTCTTTGTGAGAGGTGTGGTAGGGGTTGTGCTTGTGCTTGTGGGAGTTGGAGTTGTGTGAAGTGTTGCGGCTGAGTTTGAACTTGTGTTTGGAATTTGATTTTCAACTTCGCGAGGAATGCTAGATTGATCATGATTGTGTTCGTGTTCATGATTACCCAGCTCCATACCAAGACCTAAACCAAGACCGATAGATTGACCTGCAGTAGGAGTAGCAGTAGCAGGAACAGGCGCTGGTCTTACAGCGGGGAACAAGCGTCTTGGTTGAACTTGTTGACCTTGTTGAACTTGTTGAACTTGTTGACCTTGTTGACCTTGCGGACCTTGCTGAGTCTGCTGGCCTTGCTGAACTTGTAAAAGACTCTGACGAACCGTCAAACTACGCTCGCGATTGCGCTTGGGACTATTCGAAAGATTGTTCGCCGCGCTTTCCCAGACATTTTCGGCTACGCCGGCGGCGGATTTGAAGAAGGAGGAGAGGTGGTGGGACATTTTGATTGTGACTGTGGTGATTTGTGGTGATTTCTGTGATTGAGGTGAAAGAGATTGATGTTTGAGATGAGGGAGTGTTGATGAGAAGTTGATGATTGATTGATAATTGTCTTCCTTCCAACAATGAAGTGAAGTTTCCCGACCCGACTCGACTCAACCCACCACCGACTGAAGACCGATTGATTGATAGATGTTATTCAAAGCTCACTTCAAGCCCAGTCGTAGTTTTTCTCTCTTTATTTCTTTCTTTCTCTGCTTTCCTTAACTCTCTAAGAAATCTCTCAGTTCCACAAATCTGATTAACAGAGTAGTGATCAAATAAACCAGACTCCTTTCATCCAGTTCTTCAAACTATTCTTTCATCCAATTCTTGATCTTCTTGGTCACAGTCTCTCAATTCTCAGGTTCTCGAGCTTTATTCGAATTAGATCAATTCAATCCAATCCAATCCACCAATCCCTCAATGATACAGATTGCGATTGTACAGGAAGAACTTGAAGTCTCTTTCATACAATACACCCTGGAGGTGAAAAGACTATCAGGCGGTCGGTCCAAATTTAAGAAAGCGTTTGTGTGTGTAAAGTTGAATTCGAGATTGAAGTTGAAGTGAGTTGAGTTGGGTTAAATTGTGTAAAAGAGTAGAAGTCAAATCAAGTCGGTTGAAACAAGTCAGATGAATCGAATCGAATCAACTGCACACTCTCCTAATCCTGCAGTTTGCAAGAAAACAAAACTGTAAAGTAAAGGTTGATCAAACAGTCGAACAAAGTCGAATTCGATTTCAAAGATGAGAAGTCAAAGTTGAGTCGAAATTATATCAAGAATTTTAGCATTCAACTCCAAAGAAGTGAATACAATCCGACTTGAATCAATCCCACCCACTGTAACTATTGAAAACCTCTTTTCTTATTTCTCAGTTCTGAGAAAAACAAAAAAGATGAAAGTGTAAAGAAAGATCAGTCAGATTGTCTTGTCTTGATCGTGAATTCGGATGGATTAGATAGAAAGTAGAAATTTAGAAGAAGTATTTTCGTTCACAGTACACGTCAATCTTTTATCAAGAAGAAGAAGAATGAGTGAAGATTTCCAATTTCCAATTTCCAAATCCAATCAATATTCTTTAATCTTTTCAATTTTCCCAATATTCCCAATATTCCCAATATTCCCAGTATTCCCAATATTTACTAATCAATTCATGAATTAATTTTTTCCCAAAACTAAGAAAATTGCCATTGTGCGACTCGGAAAGTCGAAAGTGAATAAGAGGGTTAACTCAATACTCAACCCCCTTTAGAGCAGCGAGCAAGCTGGTCGAGAGACAGTCAACAGACAGTTGAGAGAAAGTCGGAATTACTCTAGCTCCGAGTTTCATTGACTTTTCTTTGGGAGAGAAGAAAGAAATAGTAATGATAGTATGTTATAACATATGTGTATACTATGTTGAACAATCATAATCAGATTTAAGTAGGTAGGTAGGTACATACATACATACATACATACGTACATACACACACACGCACACAAACAGACAAAAGATACCAAAACAAACACTTCATTCACAACCCAACAAACTAATAACTCAAATCAACAAACCAAATCAACCTCTCAATCCCCCATAGCATCCTCAAATAGCCCTCTCAACTGTTCCCTCTCCTCCCCCACCTCCTCCGCCAAATTCGGCGCCAACATCAAAACTCTCTTCTGCGGCAACGTCCCCTCGACCAACCCATCAATATGTTCCCTTTTGAATCCCAAATCCTTCAATCCCCTCGGCTGATCTCCCAATTCCTCAAGGAACTTCTCCAACGCTTCCGCTAAAACCGCACCCGCGCTTTCCTTCTTCACATTCGAGATATCCACCCCGAAGCATTCTGCTGCTTGGAGATGACGCTCCGGGTTCGACGCACCGGTGAAGCGGAAGACGGCGGGGGCAGAAACAGCTACAGATACACCGTGCGGAATGATGGGGGTCTTGGTTACGTAGCCTGGATGCGTGTATCCGGGATTTTGACCGGAGATTGGGTAGGACATTCCTGAGTGTATTAGTATATGTTTTGGAAGATGAATACCATAATGCTAGTCGATCTGGTATTGGTAGTCGCTGATATAACTCAACAGTTATATAGTATGCCCAATATTCCAGACCGCAGTCAGAGCCGAAACCTTTTAAGCTTGAAGTCTTGAAAATGCTTCGATCATCCCATCAAGTCTATTCTTCTGAATAAACTCAACAATCGACACAACTTCAATATTCAAAACTCTTTCCCTCTAGACTGCAGTCTACCATATTCAACACAACAGAAAAACCAACATCGCTACCAAACACCCAATCAAGCAAAAGAAAATACTGAACATACCATGACACAGATGCACTCCTGCATTACCAAATCCCACACCCGCCAACGTAGCCGCCAACAACATCTGACTCTGGGCCTCATAATCCTCCGGATCTTTCGTCGCCCTCGGCAAATACTTCGCCGTACTCTTCAACGCCTGCAGGGAAAAAATGTCACTAATGGGATTTGCCCCCTGATACGCCGGTCTCATGATTGGATTTTGGGGTCGAGGAGTCCTCTCATAATATGGAATTGCGGTCCAACTTTCCAAACTATGACAGAGAACATCTAAACCCGAGCTAGCGTGTACAGCAGATGGCATGGTGCGTGTATTGAGAGGATCGCATATACCGAGGAGGGGTTTGAGGTTTCGATGGGCGATGCCTGTTTTGGCTTTATGGGATACGAGATCGAAAATAGCGGTACCAGTTGTTTCAGAGCCGGTTCCGGCGGTGGTGGGAACGGCTATGAGAGGTAAGAGAGTTTTATCTACAGGTCTACCTTTGCCAAGTGGTGCATTTACAAAGTCCATGAAATCGGCATCTGGATAACAGGTATAAAGATTCATGAGCTTTGCAGTATCGATAACTGAACCACCACCAACTGCTAGAAAAGCATCTGGTTGATAGTTCTTGGCGAATTGGATTGCTTCTTTGATACTATTTGTCTGTTAGAAATGTGGTCGTTTGGAAAAACGCAAGACACAGGAGTCCCATCACGTTTCTGAGATTAGCACGCTTGCTCCACTTGAAGCTGCATATCTCTCTCTTACTATTCAACGACACCAACCAAAGAGCGCAAAGACCATCCATTGAAAGAAAGGCAAAAGAGAAAAGCCTCCAATGAATCTCAGCATCATCGAACCTCTCAAGAAACACCCCTCAACACCCCCCCTCAAACAAGAAAACAAAAGAAAAAACCCACCTCGTATCCTTTGGCTCCACCCTCGTCCCCTCGAAAACCTCAAACTCAACCCCCTCCCTCCCCAACCCCTCCCTAACCTGCTTCATCGCCTCTAGCCCCTGCACCACCTTATCCGTCACCACCAACACCCTCTTACTCCCCAAATTCTTAAAATCCATACCCACCTCCCTCGTGACCCCCGGTCCAAACCGTATCGATGAAGCCGCCATCTCAAACGCGTATTCTTTTTCGCGGGTAGGATCCATAGGGGTAGCGTAGTTACGCTGGAGGTTTCGTTTGGTTTGCGAGAGGAGAGAGGATGTGGGGTGGTGGTGGTGATGTGAGGGGTTGTTGTGGCAGGGACAGGAAGGGGGGTGAGTGTATTGGATTGTGCGGAGGAGGTTCATGGCTCGAGCCGCTTTCTGGAGAGGGGAATGTTAGTGATCCGTTTGTTTGTAGATGAAATGTAATGCAAATGAGAAATTTCCTCCTTGCCCCCTTGATCAGTTCACTCCCTCCACTAATCACATATGGGGGCAAGCCCCCAAACCCCCAGACCTCGCTGCGCTCGAACTTTCTCATCTCCTATCTGCCAATCGGCCTATCTACCCATTTCCTCTATATATCTACCCTACACCAGCATCCCCTCTCATCCCCTCACCCCTCGCCCCATCAAAACAACTTCCTCTCACCCCATATGAACCCCCTCATTCTCCCACTTCACACAACCCTCTGACCCCATAAAAATCACCCCCTCTCACTCCTACCCTCCTCACTATCACCACTCTCTACGAAACGAGACCCAGACTAAATCACCTCAAACTCAAACCTAAACCAGACCAAAACTCTCTCAACTCCTTTACTCCAAAACCAAATCAAATCAAACTACAAAGAAGAGGAGAAAGGAAAAAAACCACTAACCGTAGGAGCAACCCGTATCGCCGACATCTTTGCAATTTCTGTCCTTTTGTCCTTTTGTCCTTCTGTCCTTCTGTTTATATATCTCTGTCCTATCCTTACTCTTGTTCCTTATTCTCCTTTGTTTTCCTCCCGTTGTTTCTCTTTCGTTTTCCTCTCGTTTGTTTTCTCTCGTTTATTTCCCTTAGTCTAATCTCCTCCCTTCCTTCCTCGTTCGTTATTCGTTATTCGTTTCCTTCCCTCTTATACCTTTCCTCCGTATCTTTACTCTCTTTTATGATTCTTATTCCTATTCGATTCGATTCGATCCTTTCCTTCCCTCGTTCGTTCTTCGTTTCCTCCTTCCCTCTTGTACCTTTCCTCCGTATCTTTACTCTCCTTTAAAATTCTTATTCCTCTTCGATTCTCTCCTTTAAAATCCTTATTCCTATTCGATTCGTTCCTTTCGTTCGATGACTCGCGTTTCTTCCTCCCTCTGTATTCTCCCTTCTCAAACTATCCTCTCTTCCAAACCAACTTTCTGAGTCCCTATGTCTCTCTACCTTTCTAAATCCCTTACAAATCCGTTCCTTATTCGTTCTAAAGTATCCAGTCCCTCTCGAATCAATCCTCTCCAATTAATCCTCCCTTAAACAATATTATCCTCCCACTCCCACTCACAACCAAACCACAAACCAACAAAAAGCCCTTCACAATCAACAATCAACAATCAACAATTCATAAACTATAAAGTAACCTCATAAACTATAAAGTAATCTCATACTCTCATCTCATCTCAAAAAATCTCAAAACATCTCGTCTCATCTCAAAACAAAACAACAAAAACACACCACGTATCCATCC